AAGTTTCACATGTCATCAAACGATTAGAAATAAAGTCCTTTTGAAAGATGGATGCTGATTGCCTGGAAAATCGCATGATAACAGAAATAAATATGTATATAACCGGCACCTAACGACCATTTCTTACGCTTTCTCGTTACTTTCTTCAACTATGTAGAATACGTAATTTCAAATTCAGTATATCGTACTTGTCAACTAAAAAGTATGGCATGATTTAGTTTAAGGGGTTATTCTACTTTGACGGCCGAAAAAATTTAGCTATCTTTAGAGATTTTTTCTCAGTAGATACATTGTGTGATTAAATGCATCTTGTCAGTGCTTATTGAACTACTTATAAGTAATATTAAAAAAGTGAACTCTCAAACTAATTACGAGTACTATTTAGAGTATTTTGAATTTTTTGCTTCGGATGAATCTGAGCTGAGAAATCTCCTGCACCATAGAGATACCCTTTTTCGAGATGTCACTTTCATGCTAAAAAAAAACTTGAAACGAAACATAATAAAATTATTTTTCAATAAATAAATAATCAATAAAACGAAAGAATGTAGAATGACCCATTAAGCTCGTTGAAGAGTAATGCGTGCTGTATTTTCCCTTACTTCTTTTAAAATTGTAATTCTTTTTCGGAAAACACTTGTGATTCATGTTGTGCTTCGATAATATCAATGTTAGTGCTGATCGATATTTGGGTTAATCATCATTTACGATGAGCGACATTCACCGTAATCATCGATCTACTGTTATTTCTACTATAAAAAAACCGATGAAATCCGAGGGTGTAATATTAATACGAAGAATTTACAGTAATTTTCAATTGTAATAGTAGGTTCATTTCTGCGAATTGGCCTTTACAGTCAGAATTCGCGGAACAGTTCCATCGAGATCGCCCCTTTGGTTCACGTCGCTCACATTGTCGGGGAACTACGGGTTAGAAATTTCCACGATTATTCGTCACGGGACCCGTGGATTCCACTTATCCGGCGATTTGCCGGCATCTAATCGCCCGTTCAATTTATACGTGTCGGCGATTTGAATCCATCGAGCATGCCACGACCGCAACACGCGCGTATCCGTGTTGTGACTTCTGGCCGAGTTTAGAAACCGTTTCGACGGTTCGCGCCGACTTCCCGCGTACACTGACACTGTAAATCTCTTGAATATTCACTTCTTTTTACCAAAAAAGATTCGACTATTTTTTTCTTCTTCCGATAAAACAACTATAATTTAAAAAATACGCTTGAATTACAACAAAAAACTAACTTAAATTAGTTTTCTTTTTATGCTTCTTTTGAACTGTTGCACTTTTGAATTATTTTATTTAACGATATAAGGGTGTTCCACGTAAATGTTGCCACAAAATTTAAGGAGTTTTCTTTAAGTTTGCAAAACATTGTGTTGAACACAAATGGAACTCTAATTAAGGGTGCACAATTTTTAGAATTCGGAGTTTCTTTGTTAGCATTTATTTCGGAGAAATGGATGTTACCTTCCGTTTTTCTAAAATGAAACTATAGCATTTTCGAGATATTTTACGTTAGAGGATTCAACACATAAAAAGAGCGTGAATGTAACAAATTGTACTATTAATTGTGAACTGAAGTTGCGATTAATTTTATTTCTTACTGCTGTTGGAGTAATGGTTTCTTCTGTCATCTCGGGCTATACAATGGAATGGAGCTGCCGGGTTCATTAAAATATGCTCAGGCAGAAGAAATTACTTTTTAATAAATTAGAGTGGAAAGGTTCTGGTTTTCAAGAAATAATCGGAAGGAAATCGTTCCTGTTTCAATTTTGAATACCAAAAAGTGACGTCTAGTAGAAAAATCCGATCACTGATCAGACAAGACAAACATTGAAGAAAAAATGAGTCAATTAATTAAAATAAAAATTCTCAAAAAATCTATGAATTGCTTAATTCACCTTCTTAGTATATAAAATAAAAATTATCGAACAATCTATTAATTTCATAGTTCACCTTTTTAGTATTCCATTCGTCTGTCTGTACATTTCAACGATGGGTCATAAAACGTTAATGCAGCGGCAAAATTGGAGCACATATGGTGTACAAGTGTAGAAATAAAACCGACCGCAGTTTCAAGATCTAATATGCGAAGCTATTGACTTGCAGAGTATTCTTGTAACGAACGAAACAACTAGAACTTTCCATCTGAATAAAACTCGAGCATGTGTAACGACAAAGTTTGTATTATTTTTTACTGTTAATTACTAGGTAAATACTTTCGATTATTTATCTAGAAATTATCAAATTTGATCGATAAATCTCTGATCTAGTATAAATAACAATACCTTAGTGTTTACATAGATAGAAGTTACCTATTTGGAGGTGACAGTGAGAGAAAAAAGTGTTCATTCACCATTGATTTCGAATTATCACTTCACAATTTTGTATTTTTTATTTTCAGTATATTGCTAAATGAAAAATTATATTCTTCCAATTGTTCCATATTAAATACAGCTTATTGTTTGTGTTATGCTGGAAACAGTATCATTAACACTAGAACTACCGACGATAAACGCATATTTGCTTCGATCGGTGGATAAACGTGAAAAATTTTTGAATATTTAAAAATTTAGAAATGGACCAATTTCTTCATTTTCATATCATAATAAAAGGTGCAAAAGATCTGAGAAAATGTATTGTCATAACATTTTAATCGTCGTTATAAGAGTGTATTGACAAGTCATTTTGACCTGCTTGGAAGTTCTAGGGTTTAAGAACACTAGGGTTAATCGACAATAAGTGTCACCAGTGCTGCGATATTTTCTTCCGTCACTGTACATCTTTGTATTGTACTCGAAACTTCGAATTACTGTTCACGTGAATGTTCTGATAAATTAAGTCTTTCATTCGGTGTTCCCATGGTGAAGGTTCGAGGCGGCTGAAACCGAAACGAAAGGGGAGCGAATTATCGTAGACCCGGTGTGTAACGTATTAGGTGATTATACTGTTAAAGTGAAATTAGTTGTAATTGAAGTTCGTAGCGTGTCAGACGGTGATTGCTGTATATTCGCCGACGTTACACAAACTGAACCGATTAATCCGTGAGTTATCAGCACGCCGATAAATTGTTTAACCTTTCGCGGTTTTCGGCTAACTCGTGGCCGATTTACCGTCATTGTTTTGAAAACTGAACAGTAATTATCTACCTAGAAATTTAGATAAACAGACGACTTGTTTTAACGGTACTTCCATTATATGGTTGAGTCATGAATAATATGGATTTTCCGAATTTACATAACTTCGAGATAATCTACGAATAAGTTTAACACAAATTAGATTTAGTTAATTGTTATTTTATTTAAAAATTTTTGTTATTATCGATATTGAATGAAGTTTCGACGCAAATGAAGGTGTTTACGACTGAAAATTGCGTGCAACTTTTTTTATCGGGATTATCGAGCAAATAAAATCGTTTGAATGATAAGAATTTATTAAAGATACTACACGCGTTTATTGTCGTTGGTTACGAGTTTTCAGAACCGTGTAACTGAAACTTTTTTTCATAAGTATCATTCCACGGTGAAGAGGCTTTGGAAGAAAAATTTTGTTCCTACGTTGAAAATTCATTGCCGTTGCAACTGCTCTTCGTAGAGTAGTGCACATCAATTTTATTTTCTTCTCGGGCGGTCTTGATGTTACCTCGTGCCCTTTTTATAGTAGATTGATGTGTTTTTACGAGACTGGTCTTGCACTGACACTTGCAGCTTACTTTACGGCGCCTGGAACGTTGCAAGAAAGGAAACGCGACATCCGAATAATTTAACCACTAATTAAAAAATAAAGGAATTTAGTCGAATCTCTATTTTATAGTTTTTTTCTGTTAATTTCGGTAGATTAAAATATTCATTTTTCTAGACATTTTCAGTTTTTTCTTATGTTTCTCTTCCTTTTATTTTTTTCAGTTCTTTGAGTGTGACTTACGTTCGCGGGGTATTTAAACGGTGTTTGTCCATCGAACGAGAGGATTATTTGTTTCACGGTAATTTATTGATATATTATTTTTTTTTTGTTTTTCTATGTTTCCATCCTTCCTGTTTCATTTCCACTGTTTATAAAAGAGTGCTTAACATTTTTTTCCTCTTTTGATATCAGAGGTTTGATCTAGTCGAACTTTTCTCTAACAGTAGAAATGAATTAATTTTCTCTCGACATTACTAGTTGTTTTTAAGGACTATTAATTCACCAGTTTGTCAACAGACGTCGCTTTAAAGTAATGGAACAAACGGAGCGCCAAGACGATCAATACAGGCAATCGGAGATATTGTATTATGTTTAACCACGTTAAATATAATGAATCACTTTCTACACACATCACCGTTCAGATGTTTGATAATTACTCGTCATACACACGTTTCACCGATTAATTAACTCTTATTTTCATTAAATTAGCACACTGTTTACTTACCACACACGAGAAATTGTGCCATTTTGGTCTATTACTCCACGAATATACTTGTAATACATACTACAATACCACAATACCACAATACCAAAATACCAAAATACCAAAATACCAAAATACCAAAATACCAAAATACCAAAATACCAAAATACCAAAATACCAAAATACCAAAATACCAAAATACCAAAATACCAAAATACCAAAATACCAAAATACCAAAATACCAAAATACCAAAATACCAAAATACCAAAATACCAAAATACCAAAATACCAAAATACCAAAATACCAAAATACCAAAATACCAAAATACCAAAATACCAAAATACCAAAATACCAAAATACCAAAATACCAAAATACCAAAATACCAAAATACCAAAATACTAAAATACCAACATACCAAAATACCACAATACCACAATATCAGAATACCATAATCCCGCGATATTGCAATACTACAGTACTGCAGCATTACAGTGCTACTATACAGGAATATTAAAATAATACAATATTGATCTTTATTCTGTTGGGTCTACTTAATCGAAATGTTTATGGGAAATTTCTTTGCGACAGATGCCGTCGAACTCGACAGCAGGCAGCACCCTATTAGACGAAGACTTGCGTCGAATCTTGATAGAAAGGGAGCAGGACTGCTTACAGCTGCAGGCCATGAACTCAACGCCACCACCAGGTAGGATTTCAATCTAATTAACGCATGCACACCTGAGTGTAAACTTACTTAAGACCGAGTAGAATGAGATAATTGTACAGTTTAAATTCAATATATTTTTTCGGTCTTATCAGTCACAAAAATGAAGGATGTTAGGAAATGACAGCGAACATTATGAAAGAATTTTCGGTCTCTGATTTTCTTGGGAAAAAAGAATAGAATTTGGGAAAAAACCGTGGATTCATTACCGAAACGCTGAACCCTTTGAATGCAAAGTTCGGTAAATTATATGTATTTGTCCCGGCAGAGGGAACGCTTTCAAAGGATTAATATATCGTTACTGTCATTAGAAGTGTAATATTAACACTTGAGCTAACAACGTTTCACGTGTGTACCTGGGATTTCGAAAAAAAAAATACAAATTAACGAATCAATTAGTTTATTCCTACACATTTTATTTGTACACATTGTACACAAGCAACCATCTTGACTTGTTAGGTAGTCCTAGTGTTAAACGTCTGATCAATGAAAAAATAATCTAGTGAACGTGTCCACAAATGAAACGAATTATATTGTCTGTAAATTTATGAAATTCGACATATTCACTATATTTTATACACAATGGCATCCTTAACGAATATATTTACGTTTATTTACAAGTACGGTATAATTTGGCCAACCGGGACACGAAGGTCTTGATCGAAGTCACGTGACCAAAAACTGTCTTTCGTTGTAATTAGACCGTGGATTTTATGCATTAATAGCCTATAGGACTCTACAATAAAAGACAAGACTTTCCATCAGATACAACAAATTTTCTATTCTATTCTGAACCCTATAAAATATTTAAGAGAATAGAGGAATTCCTACATTCACTCGTGTTTTTATAAATACTAATATAAATAATGAATTGATAGCGTTCCTTAACATCGGAAATGCAATAAAATGAAGACGTTAATGACGTGCAATACTATTTATATGTTATCATTAACATAACGAAGCTTCTAGTGTAAAATATAAAATACTTTCCCATTCTTATTTTTAGATACTAGTATCAGAAACTGTAGATTAACATAAACTTCTCCAGTATACTTACGAATAACTTTATTAAATGTCAAATTTGTCCAAAAATCCGCGGTCTAATTATAATATTACGTTGTGCCATCAGCGAATATCGAAGAAAAATATGTCTGATTGGATCGTGTACTTCCCTTTCGAGACAAAATCCTTGTTTGTTGGTCATATTTCACTAAAATTGCTCCCAAACCCGGTCCCCCAGACCATACACTTGCGCGCACATGGAGGCTCAACTTCATTTCTGTTTCTTCGACTCGGAGGCCTTAGTCTTCTTCTTCCTTGTGCATGAGTTACAGCCGAACACAAGTTTCGTTAGCTTCCGAAGAACGAGAACAAGAACGGCGAGAACAGAGACCACGCAGGCTAACAGGAACCCGTAAACATCTAGTAGATTCCTCTGCCACCAGTTCAGTTCGATGACGGGCGACTGGAGGACATTTCCGTGCCTCGCGGTGTACTCGACCACGTAAACCGCCAGGTCTATAGGTTTTATCGGTCTGTCCTTGAACAGCTCTGAGGTTTTCTTCATGCTAGTTCTGAAAAGTTTATCGGTTCGTTACTACTATGAACAGATACAGGAGGGACGGAAGATATTTCGGAGGAAGTGGGAGTATCCTTGAGCTTGAATCCTCATATTTAGGGACCAGTGTACAGACTTGTCTCGATTACTGTCTCGAACTTGGATTCGCGCCAGGACAATAATCTTATAGGGAGAAACGCGTCAGACGCTTGTAAGCTTGAATCCCCATATTTCGGGACCAGTATACAGACTTCTTTCGATTATTGTCACTTATACTTATGGAAGATAGTTGAAAAAACAATCATTTTTTTAAACGACATACTGTATGACAATATAGTAAACAGTAGAAAAATATCAGGTGGTGTGTAATCAGAATCAGAGGATCTTGATTATGTTTACGTCAGGTTTCCACTCTTTACTTTTTCTGGTCAAAAATTCGAGATCACCTCGATTTGGATTTCTGTCATTAATAATATTGGTATATTCGATTAGATATATCTCATGGAGAAAATAGAAATTTATGATTGAAATTTCAACAGGATATCGTTAAATTGTTAGTGCGTATTATAAATTCTCGTGGAAATCTATTTCTCTCCAAAGATACGCACCGATACGTTTCGTCGTGGAGGACCTTGTCGATCGCGTACGACAGCGTTTCCACTGTGACGTTCTGCATGGATACGAGATTCACAGCTATGTGTAAGCTGTCGGCGTTCCTCATATTGTTGTGCTGATCACCGAACATAGGGATACCGATTATCGGGATTCCGTAGTAGGTCGCTTCTTGGAGACTCATTAGACCGCCGTGAGAGATGAATGCTTTCACGTTTTTGTGTTCTGAAATTCAATTCCTCCCATTTTATTTCAAAGTAATCGTGTGTTCTTGCATATGTTCACGGTATGCAATATTAAAAACGTAAAGATTCATAGAAAACAAAAATTTTGAAATTCGAATCTTACGTCTGATGATTCAGTGAATCGCGAGAAGCAAGATGACGGAGAGCACGTTTTTCCCCTATGCATATTTTTTGAATAAAGAATCATCAATTCAATGAAAGAGTGATCAATTTTTTCAATTTTGAAATGAAATTTGCATTCTGGTAAATAACTTGGTCAAATGGAAGTGACAGCCTTTCGTTAATAAACTAGCGAGTCAATGTATGCGCAAGAAAGATAATTATTTGATGCACGGATTCTTCTCGAAAAAAAAAAAAATACTAGAAACAAAATGTTCCTTTTCGTGATATATAAATTCCCACAATTTCGAAGGTGTGCAAGGAATGGCTTTCTACATTATAGGGATCAATAGGAAGTCAATCAACGACATACTAAAAACAGCCACTTGAGAGAACCAAGATTGAATCATGACGTTCTTCGGCAGTCCCGGGGGCAGATCTTCTTTTTTCGCGACCTTCATCAGCACTCGAACCGGCGCGATTCGTTCGAAAACCGTGTAAAACACGTCCAGGGTTTCTTTCGGAAATGATTCAATCCTCACCATCGATCCGAACGTAAAATATATGCAACCGTGCGTGCTTTCGTCCAGCCATTTCTTCACTTCCTATAGAAAAAAATAGAAATATTCTTTGTCCACGGTTAATATTAAACTTAACTGTGTTTCTTCTCACTACCATAAGTCTACCACACTCTGCACTATGAAAAAAGAAAAATACGAAACAAATGAGACGAATAGTAATTGGACTAAAATAAAATCATTAGTTTCTAGAAACAAAACATTTTCTTCATTTGACATTTCGAACCTTTTCTACATTCAAATTAACAGTGACCTACGAATTTATTTTGATACAAATCGTTGGACGAGATATCTCGCGTTGTAATAAAAAGGCATGCGAGATATTCCGTACAAAGGGTCGCATGAACAACTTTGTGTCGCGAGATATATCGTACATAGCATTGCATGAAAGATATTGGGTTGCAAGATATCTCGTCCAAAACATATCATAAACGAAATCACATGGCGAGATATCTCGTTCTCCGATGCGAAGGGGTTAAGTCTGATGTCGATGAATTGTTGTCGGTGAAAACAGTATCGATGAAGTCTGTGTCGGTGATTTCAATGGGACCCGCAGAAGGTATGTTTGCCTTACCGGTGAAAGGGATTCGGTCGTTTTGTCATTGATGTGGAGACCGCCGACCTCGAAGACCGAGGTGGTATGAGGTCGTATGCCGTTCAGACTGTGATGCGAGTTGACCAGCACGGTCGACATAGTTTTGTATATTTCGTTGATGCTGCTGTCGGTCCCGAAGTGTTCCTTAACGGTCTCAGACATAGGCTGCATGAGACTGTTTATCTTCATCGTGACGTACGTCGTCAACATGGTATTCATCAGCCTCTCCCGGAAGGTCATTCGCTGGCCGTACGGGCTGAATAAGCCCGGCATGAAAGAAGGATTATGCGGATTTCCCGTCACGTCCTCCAGCCAGTCGAAGAATGACGAGGTCATCATCGCGACCACGGGGACTTTTAGATGTTCGCCGAACGCGAGATAGCACGGCGATAGGAATACCTGAGGAAACGAAAAAATAAATCGGAAAATATTGATTTAGTGTCCCATGGGTTGAAAGGTATATCTAATATTTTTATGTTTTCTAGTTTTTGTTACTGCATTCCGTCACTTGAATTGGTCCGCAAGTTTTTATGTTTGACATAAGGAAATGTTACTTTTATACGCGTGCAAAAATAATGATAAATCGCGGACTAATTACATGAGTGAATTGACACGCAGACTTGATGGTGTGTGCTTGTGGCGGGCAAATTAAAGTCTACGAAGATAAATATTCATGCTGTCCTACGACGCTGATAATGTGTGTTTTTGTATATACCGGGAATCAATACTTGCATTTACATATTTCGTTCGATGACAAGTAAGGCTCGTGTAGTAAATATATCTAGGCGTGCTGGAAATAATAACCACATACGGATGTGCAGGAAATATAAATTAGCACGGTAGGATTATTCATTTTTACGATGTTTCTTTAACAAATCCTGGAATTACTGATGCATATATGATATTTATTTATTTAGTGATTCGTACGATCGTTCATCTTCTTACTAGACAGTCTAAATATAGATTAAAGCTGTACCGATTACTAACTCTGATTGAGTCAGTGAGACTGCACTTCTCACCTGTTCTTTGAAACCTGTTTCGGTAATTCCACGTGGATCGTGAAGAAACAAAAACGTCAAACATGATTCAGCGTTTATCGTTACACTGAAATTTTTTTATGCTTACAATCGATATATAACGAAACAGAAACTTGAATAAATACACTGCATTTATTTAATAAATATACTGTATTATTCCGTATTTAGTACTATTGATCTATTGTTAAATGTTCATATCTGTTCAGTTTATTAATTACTTTAGATCCCAAACGTAGACCCTAATTAACACTTTGATGTTGGATCACGTAGTAGTACGTGTTTGTTAAACAAAAACTCCAATAGTCAAAAATAGGGAAAAATCGCTTTTCCTATATGTAAAGTTTGACAAATAAAAATTAAGTAGTAGTTTCTAAATATTTCTAGAACACTTAAAGTTGTATATTTGCAAACACAAAAACCCTTCCGTCAGCGAAGTGTTAATATAAATAGTTTATTACGAAGGCATATTTCAAATTATCTCTATTAAATTTGTCACGCAATTATTAACCGAATAGAGATTACGTTTAAACCAGTTGTGATTAATCGACATCCCACTGAAAAATCGTTCAGTACTCTAGACTGAACTTGAACGTTCCGACACGCGAGTCGTAGAATAGCAATTCTAGAACGCGTGAGAGGATTACCGGGTCTGCTAATTTACCACTAATTTGTTTTGCGCCGCTTCGTAGGAAGTTACGTAACCGATCAGACGTATAATTCATCCCATTTTTTTCACCTGACGTGTCGATTCAATTGATAGTTGTTGTCAAGCGACCATCGTGTCCTCGCAAGCTCTTATCGGACAGTCTCAGCAGAGTTAATATCATACTCGACTGATATAATAATTTGTGAACAACAACAATGCGATGACAGAAATCGTGACAGCAGTCGACGTAACGTGTCTAATAACTGCACGGTCTTCGAATGTTTCTGCAAATTCGCATATATTCTTATCAATTTACGTGCAATAACAGGGATTGATGGGTATGTATCATCTGTAAATAGTTTCCTACTTTTTACTTAATCAACAAGTGGCAAAATTGTATTTCCATGAGACTTCCGTGATAGTTCGTTGAGTCGATGCAATTGAATTGGTACCTGTATATTAATTTGGAAATACTTATGAATTTGGATTCTGTTCGAAATTCGGAAGTACTTACTCCTAAATTGGGGCCTGTACTAAATTAGGAAGTATTCCTAAATTGGGACTCTATTCTAAATTGGCAAGAACTCTTAAATTAGGACCCTGCACTAAACTGAGAACTATCTAAATTGGGACCCTGTACAGTTGAGTCCACTATTCGACGCAACTTTTCATCCCCTTCCAAACATAATTGTCATTTATTTTCAATTCAACCGAAAAACGATATCATCTTCTAGCGACATTATATATACTACTCCCCTAGTCTTACAGACTAATACTTTCAACTATATTCCACGATTCCCACGCAACGATATCTAACCATAGCCAATTGCTCCCGTAAATGTTCACATTGTTTCTAATAGTATTCTCAGTAAAATCACATTTCAAACCCATAAAAATTTCACCAATATCACTTACCTCGACTACAATCACATCGTACGGTGGGTCCTTCGGTGGATTGTTGATAAGATCCTGTAGCGTCTTGTGGCTGAGCAGGTTGCAAAGGCTTATGCCAGCCACTTGGACTATATTCTCGAAGTTCATCTTGTTGAACTGGCTGACATTCTTCGCGTCCATGTTGTTCACCACCTGCGGCAGGCTGCCGGCGATCGATAGATCCTTGTAATTCGGCATTGGTGTCTTTCTGGGGAAATGGGAGACCACGTCCACTTGATGGCCACGTTCCGCCAATTCTTCCATCAGTCTACTAGCCATCACGAAGTGACTTCGTCCGTTCAATGGGAATATGCCTAATATTCGAAGACCGTTGCCAAAGTGACAGCAGGCCAGCAGGGCCAGCAGAGTCAGAAAATAGACTCTCATCTTCTGAACAAGTGGAAACTAGAGGTCAACAGCCAGACTCAGAAATGGTCACACCGATTTCACGAAGGATCCAAAGTGGCCCTTTGCGGTCAGCTTTCTCGAAGTTCGTTTCGACGATGTTAACTTCCACGAAGTTAGCTCCCTTGGGCGTTGTTTCGGTCCAATACTGACGATCCCGGTTAGATCTGGATTAGGTTCTTGAGGATCTTCCGACAGATGACGGCCACTGTTCGCATAAATCGAACGTGGTTACGATGGACTCACAACCGGTGGTGGGAGCGCAGCCAGCAGCTGACAGATGTCGCTTGGTATCTTGGTCGATCGAGAATCACGCCGGAATTACACTCAAGGTGATATATCGTCAGCTGATGGAAGCGATGTTGTGATCCACTGTTGAGAGAGTATAGGTAGAGATAACACTATTCTTCTTCGGTGTTTATCTTTGAATGGAGTTTAGCGAATATAGGCACGTTCACTATCTTGGAGAGTAATTAAAGATATTGTTGGTTAAATGGATTTAACTGGTGACGTGTGTGGGGGCTGATGTGTTGTTAGTAATTGGGTCGAGTTGCATTGGTTCCCAAGTGAAGACAGAAATCGTGGAGGAACATTTTTCTTGGTTTAACAAATTGTTACAGGATCTTTATCAATACTAGTTTATTCACAGTAGCACTACCAAAACAGTCAAAATGATTGCTGAAGAGTCTGATGAAAGAAAAAAAAAATAAAATAACTTATGAGAATGTTGGGAATATATCTCGAATTAATTTAGATCGTAACCCTGTTTACGCGTTAATTAAGAAGATACACAGAACGAAGTTATATACCATCATTTTGACTTTATCAGAAAGTGAATAGTGCAAATAAAATAATTTATGCAAAGAATTGTTAAGAATAGGGTAGATGTCTCACTTACTACCACCTTACATGGTAGCGTAACTTCAATTAATCATTTTACGTTAATTGTTTACTCCAAAAATCATCTCAGTTTGGACATAAGATGATTTAACATCTCTTTCATTAAAAAATATTTCTATACATTAAATATGAAGAATTAATTAATAATGAATTAAAATCTTCGAACATTACCAGTATCCCTATAACTGTCACCTCAAAAATTAAAGTAATTATTATATACTTTAACAATTCATTTTGTGCAATAGATACAGGTTGAATAATAAATATATAAAATAAAAATCTAAATTACCATTCGGTGTAACATTTATTTCAGTACATGAAATAAATTTACCAAATTGTCGGATATCTTTCTCTTACGTCACATTTCCTCTAACGGAAGCCGAGTTTGCTCGTGAGTATAAATGCAAGTACATGTATTTCTTTGTTTCTGTGTAAATCAGAGTTCCACTTTATTAATGAAATTTTTTTGTACACAATTCTTTATACGTTACGTTCTTATTAAGTAGAATAAATAAAGTGGCAGTACTAGAGACACTGGTAATAATTGGAACATTTAACCTATTTCGAATTAATTTGCTTTAGATATATATATATATATATATATATATATATATATATATATATATTATGTGCACGTATTACATCGACGCATAACAATTCACAATGCAAGATGCTGTATGTTCTGAATGATAAAAACCTGATTACTCGAGAAACGCAACAAACTGCGACGGAACTTACGATCATTTCATAACCGACGTCGAATGTAACTAAACCACGAGCGAGAAACGCGTTCCACGTGATGCCCTGGGAAGACAGAAGCCGACTGATCCGTGAATTCTCTTGGTCAGTTGTGTCCACTTATGCCGGAAGGTCCGTGAGGTCCGTGACGTGATTAGCGGTAGGCGTTACTCGAGCAAGATGGACGCGGATCCCAGAGAGAGCCACGCATTTTCTATCGCGAAACAAATCGTCGTACCGAGTACGTCCCCGAAAACTGATTAATCGATTAATCTTAGATCAAAAAATTGATTTCGAAAAAATACGTAAACTCCCGTTCATAAGTATTGGGACACTTATCGAATGTAGTGAACATTTAGTGAATGTTCGAAGGCATTACGAAATTGTTGGAGGTGTGAAATAAATATTGTTTAGAAGATATTGAAGCTTAATGTGTAACGTTTATGCGATTATTATTTGTATTCATGATTATCTGAAAATCAGTACAGTAAATCATCGATGAGTGTTCGAAGGGTCCTCGGCACTGAACATTAAATATTTCATAAACTAGTGGCTATATGCGGTTGAAAAAATATCATTGGCTTCAGAATTTGAAGCTTTATCACTGTGCTAAATCTGATTAAAAAGTTGTTGTTTGATACGAAGATTGCAACTTTTCATTGACGCAAACGGTCACCAGTTCGAGTATCTCCTATAATGTGAGAAAGTTTATTTCACTACCATATTTGACCTTGCATGACCTTCAATGATAGCTCGCTGAAGTCGTTTCAACACCGGCTATCACATCGCGATAAAAAAAACATTGCATTCCATTAACAAAAATAGAGATGACCTTGAAATCTCTTCTATGCTTTCACCCACGCAGAAAATGTTTGTGTCACAATATGCCCCCCTCTATACCGTGTAAGTTTTGTATATAACATTTTTTCGTATTATTACAAATAACGGCAATATTCAAAGTGGACATAGTTATTGCCCCACCCTGTATACGAACACGTTTTTATAGAGAAGTTTTGTCGTTTGTAGAAGTATGACACGTAGCTTCATTACAGCTGAAATTGATTTCCGACTACATACCTGCAAACCTGTTTTTGCGCCCTGAACGGACGAATGTCCGCAAGTCATGAACAGTGTGAATCTGGATAGGTAGAATCTTTCGATTCCATTTTCCTGGTTATATCGGTTTGAAGATTTCGATTAATCACGCAAACTGATATTGTTGTAATATTATTATTGCTTGTTTTTAACGACTTGAAAGAATTTTAATTTTCTCGGTTACTCGAATCATTGGATTATCGAAATAGATAACACTTTCTACCGTAAAAGTGTCGTATGTCGATCACAATGAGGTTGTAATCAATCTTATTAGATATTTAATGAATAAATCAGTTGAATTCTAACACTATTGATCTAATCAATTTTTCGCCGGAAAAAAACTGAGAAGAGCGTGTGCTACAGGAAAAATATATATTCGTGACGAGAGATTCATAAAATCGATTTCTGATGTAAATATTTTTGTCGTACCTATAAATACGAAACGAGAGAGATCGTTCGAAAGAAAACAGGAAATTTCGTGATTAGTATGCGATGTGACGCTTTCTGCTGATTCATGTAATTCCAAGTCGCGTATCTGTAATGTTCAAACCGGTCCAATGAGATAGTCTTCGCTCTATTTCTTATTTTTAGATCTACTTCCACTATGTATTTCTAATAAAAACCATGCTAGCTGCGTTTCAGAATTCATATACAACAAGTTAAGACATTTCTGGTTCGTTACCAATTTACTAAAAGAAAACTGAAATTTTTATGAATTTTCCATAAGGGTCTTGTTAAGAAAAATACCATTTTACTCCAAAACGGTTAAAAACCCTTTTGAACACTCGTGTAACCACAAACATGTTTGTTTCGCTACTAATTTCTCAAAAGAAAACTGTGAAATTCACATGAATCTTCTATAAGGGTCCTCCTAAGAAGAGGAAAAGTACCATTTCATTCCAAAATTGTGAAAAACTGTTCTGAACACTCGTGTGATCATTAACTCGTACCCAACAGGTCTAAATTGCCGATTTTATCAACGGAAATAAGTAACGAACTCGGAATTTCTCGATGGGTTTTCTTTTTACCCTTTTTTTCCCCGCGGTTTTTAGTTCGCCCGCAAAACGGTACCGTTCCATTTGGTCGACCAATCGTAAATTGCTATCGAAAGTGCGCAGAACCGATAAAAGAAAAAGTTTGTATCGCGACTGCGTCATTGGAAATGAATTTTCCCGAAGTTTCGCGTCGTTGTCGAATTTTTTCGATGTTTTCAACGACGCGCGACAAGTTGGCGAACTGCAAGTACACACGACGCGTGTCAGCGGTAATATAGCCGGGGACAGTTCGATTAACTGTCCGATCCATATGGTTAATTATCCTGAAAATTGTCGCGTGAATTCATGAACATGTTTTCGTGTCGTTTCCTCGTTTTTGATATATGCGTTAATCGAGCTATGGTAAAAGTAAAAAAGTTTTGAAATGGCAACGAATGAAAAATGGCATTAGATGGTTTTAAAATGTTAAAATGTTTGCTGCTCCCTAGGAAGAATGATTGTCCTGTTTGTGTGTTTGTACTCTCCTTTTATTAATAATTCAACATCGTAAAATTACATTTGGTCAACAAATAACGAATAAATTACGACTTAGGCTACATGTGGATTTGAACATTTTACTCTTTCGAGAGAGCAAAAGTGCCTAGCCACTGGACTCTCAGTGGATACGGACCTTAAAACTATCATATAATTGCGTATGCAACATATCCACTTTGAGAACTTTTTAGTCACAACACTCAAACAGATACGGAGATTTTTAAAGCAATCCTCTAACAGACTTATGTAACGTGTCCACTTGAGAATTGCACAATAGCCACTATTGTCATCACACTCAATTTAGATACAGACCTTAAGGCTATCTTCCGACTGATTATGCAACACGATGACTCGACGATTTTATTATCGAAAGCAAAAACATTGTCGAGTCAGGGCTAACTGAAGTAGATACAGACGTTAATGCAATCCATAAGAACTGTCTCGTTAGGTGACGTAAGTGGATACAGAGCGAGAAAGAAATCCACTCTCACGTGGACACGCAACCTTACGATAACAATGAATCCTAAACTTTCAACAAAGTTTCAAACTTTCGTAATTGTATTATATTTATATAAATACAGCGATCACAAGATTCACGTTCAGAATAGTGTTACGTTATAAAATTGGAATTGTGTTTTGCTTTACTATAAAAATAACACTATTACATATGTAACCTGGAGAAATAAATACGTGAGCCTCTTGAAAAGGAATTTGTGAATCATCATATAGCAATCACTAGTTTGTGTTCGTTTATGCGAATTAAAATTTTTACAGTGCAATTTATAAACTGATTAACGTTAATCTTCTGTAGATGTTTGTTTGAATTAAAAATGTAGCAGAAACCTTTAATTAACCACCAAAAGGCGGACATTGTGACAAATTATAAAATGGTTGGTCATGTTTGTAACAATTTTCCCTCCCAAATTGTTTTGCATTTTTTTCGTAATGTTTCTTGCAAAATTTTCTAACATTCACAAACAACTGTCGTAAGATTATAACAATCAGCTCGGCACTTAACGGTATTAATAATGCAGAATTGCGAGTAACAGGTGTGCTGTTCACAAAAACTGTTTTGTTGCTTTAATTCCCGTTGGTAGCTGCACTTATATCTGCACTTATATATGGTATGCTGACATAATATCGTTCAACGACAATTAACCTAAATATTTGGCTTCACGTAGGACGTTAAATAGAGTGGAACATTGTGAGTGGAATATTGTTATTAAAAATGGTAAATTTGCTTAAACTTCCGCAGTTTAAGTATTAAACAGTTGTATCATTAAATAGTTCAATCACAATAGCAAATTACAGTCATGGAAGACAACAAAAACTTTCTATAACTGGGTTAAAATTTCATATGGGAAAACGAAATTTCATACGCACCAACCCAACATAAAGGATACAAGAAGAAGCTGTGACTAAGAGATCTTCTTCTTGTGCGACACATTTTGTTCTACGTTTATCAAACTAAATATGTATCGCACCGCGGCGATTAAAAGGTAGATCAAGAGGAGAGTAACGGCTACGAAGAAAAGATACACGTCCAAAAGCTGCACTTGCCACCACGTCAGCTCTGTTGAAGGTGATCTGAGCGCGTCTCCGCCGTGCCTGACGATGTATTCGATCCAATAAACTGCAGTATCGATTGCGCTTAGAGGGCGATCTAGGAACTTTTTGGAGAACTTTCGGGCGGTCTCCCTGAAAAATAAAGGATACATATTATAAGAATGAAGTGTATTGCAAATGTAACTTCACAAGGGATGATTATGGGTAACATAAGAATTTAGAACTTCAGGGGAGAAATCACCCCTTTTACTTCGAAGTACCCCTTTTACTTATTCGCTAACTCGTGAACTACAACAGATATCGAAAAAAAGTTCAGACAAACTTTATGTCGTTTTTAGTCGCCCAAAAAAATTAAATTTTTGAAAATTGTTTCATATCAATATATGGACACCTAAAAAGGACATAAAATTTATCTAAACTATTTTTCGATATTCGTCGTAGTTTTCGAGTTATAAGCGAATAAGTAAAAAGGGTTGCTTCGGATAAAAAGGGTGGTTTCTCCCTTAAAGTCAAACTGTAGCACCAACCAAGTACGGCAAAATTCTCAGGAAAAAACGACGTGTATCATCTGTCGATCCTTCTCAGGAACTGATAGGACGGAAGACAAATTGTCGAACCAGAGCAGACCAATTTTTCTTACGTCGACCAATTCCAATAATAATTTTTCACTTTTCTTTTCACTTACCTATAAAATTTATCCAAGTTACATCCTACTCGTGTTTATCGCGGCTAAAAAGTCTGTCGGAAAATATTTTTATTCGCCTTTGAGGTTATGTCAGTATCGACGTTGAAAAAGTTATCCAAAAAGATTTTAACGCGTGCTATGTGTGTATTGCTTTCAGAAATCGTTACTTTTAAATGCGAAACTACACGAATGGCAAAGTTAGTCGCGCGTTACAGTGTTTCACTATCCCTGTAACTTCTGTAACTAGTTGGGATAAACCCCCATAGGGTGTACATCACTTTTGGCTCCAAAGTTTGTTACTGTTATCCCAAAACACGCTACACATCGAAGAAACTACTTCAGACGAAAGTCGATCCCCCTATCAAGGGATCATCCTGCAAGTCCAGTACACCGGGAAGTTCGTTTATCTAATAGATTTCTTGAAAGGGTAGTTTGCGACGCTAGGGATAAATCATTTACAAAACAGGGATAATTTACCGGTATGTCGGATCACGCAGTATGGTGTTCAGAACATTGTCCATTTTCTCCTCTGTCAGCGTGTAAAGGTCTAATCCTATCGCGACCTTATGCCGGACAACGGTGTCGATATTGATGAATTGATCCGCGAACAATGGTATACCGATCAGAGGGACACCGTAGTGGAGCGCTTCCTGGGTGCCCATAAGTCCGCCGTGAGTGATGAACGCTTTTATGTTCGGGTGTTCTGCAACAATACATTTCCGAATGTGTCAAAGCTCTGACCCATCTTCGTTTGTAATTCTATTTAGTTCGTTCTTTGAAAATCGATTTTCCCCAACCTTTTTGGCTCGTGGAACGACACGTGTGATAAAATTTGCGATAAATTCGATTTCGTTGTACTTTTAAGTACCGTAAGGTGGAGTAATTTTGTCCCAAAGTCAGAAAATGATTTTAGATTTTGCAGCTCTTCTGCAGGTATTTTTAAGTTAAATACCCTTTCCGCGATCAATTCGATTTCGTTGTACTTTTAAGTACCGTAAGCTGGAGTAACTTTGTCCCAAAGTCATCTCTTCTGTAGGTATTTACAAGTGAAATATCTTTTTTACGTAAAAAAAAACAATTTACAGAACTTCAAAATCGAAAATGATAATGATCTAACTTGGGACGAAGTTATCCTGAGCGAATCAAAGTTACCCGAACGTATGGTACACTAAAAATTCAGTTAACATATGTTTTACGAGAAAACGTGACTAGAAATTGTCAGTCCTCTTGCAAGATTTCTTTCTGTTTTAAAATTCATTTATCAGTATCTTTTTTTTCCAGTCCATATTCTACGCTGAGAATAAGTCCTCGAACGAACATTTATCATATTTTCCGTTGCCTCGCGGGATGTCCTCTTTCATTAAAGTATACGGTGTCTTCCATGTTCGTTTTTAATTAACTCGCGCCTGGCGGATATGGGGATTCCTTTGAGCCGGCCGTTTCTATTCTTCATTAAGTAAAAAACAGGAAAACTACATTTCCCTGTGTCATTTTTTTTTTTTTAGGTGTGACTTGTCCCAGTTATAGCAACCTCTATATACCTACATTTTACTATAAATATTCGATAATTATCGCTGAAACACACACTTAAACCACTACTTTTCTTTAATTCTCACGGGGAACATTATCTGACCGATGTACATAGATTAATTAACTAAAAACATTCGATGTGTTATACATCATAACCGCTGTAATTCAGCCTATAATAACTAGACTGCGGGATGTTTATGCATTAATAACAAATTTTAGCATGCAAAATACAGTGAAATAAAGATTTTAATAAAACTTGATGATATTTATGTATTACCAGCAGCATAACCAGACATTTACTACAGGAACTAAATTTCTATTTGATTTTCATGTTCAGAAATTAATGTTTAAAATTTTGACTTTGCATAAAAACACCCGCAGTTTAATGATGACTCACTTAGAACTTTTACTTGAGGGATCCATGATGACGTGTGTATATTCTTCGGAAGTTCAACTGACAGCTCGTTGGGATTTACTATTTTGATCAATACGCGGACAGGCGTGATTTTGCCCAGGGACTTGAAGAATATTTCCTGAAACTTCAACGGGAACGATTCGATTTTCACCATTGAGCCGAACGTGAAGTAGACGAACCCGTTCGTGCTCTCGTTCATCCACTTCTCTAGGCTCTGTAAACGGATTATTTCGTTTTAATACATACGTTGGAACGAACAGCGAACGGATAAGAAGCTTTCTTTAACGTAAATATCGGTTGTTCGACGTGAAAATGCACGAAGAGACCGTTTATAAATCACTGGGAAACCGGATCCAGAACGTGGAAAAAGGAATGTGACAATACGATGTCATTTAGCTTCAGTGACTTACTTTATCCTCTGACGCAATACTGCGTCAGCAGCCGCGAATCTGTCAATATTTTCACGGAGAATTACCGAGTGTTCGACACTTTAAACATTAGGCGACTTTTGTGGAAAATATGTTTCATCAATAGCTACGGAGTGAAATCTTCATGTATAACGATAAAATATTATAGAAAATTATTGTATGAAGGTGTGTTATGTGGTCAACGGGATTATCTCGTTATTTATGTTATAATATTGGTCGTATTGACAAAACGAACGAAGTTCTTAATCTTTCAGAATTCTTCGAAATTCGGAAATTTCAACGAAAATTAGAATTCTTGTAAAAATTGATGGATTTCTCAATAATTTGGGAACTTTTGTCAAAATTTGTGAATTTCTTAAAACTTTGGGAATTCCTCTAAAACTTTGGGAATTTCTCTAAAAATTTGAGAATTCTTATGGAAATTTGAGAATTCCTATGAATTTCTATAATAATTTGGGAATTGTTCTAAAATGTTTGAGAACTCATAAAAATTTGGGTATTCTTATAAAAATTTGGAAATTTCTGTCAAAATTTTAGAGTTCCTATAAAACTTTGGAAATTCCCGTCAAAATTTAGGAACTTAAAGAACATATCAGCATAAAACAAAAGAGGAAACTTACAGCTGGTAGTTCCACTCCCTCCTCTTGCACATGCAACCCTCCGACCTCGATGAGTCCGGGCGTCATGTCTTTGATCCCGTTCAAGGAAATATAGGAGTTTGACAAAATCAGCGAGACGTATTTTTCGATGGTTCTGATGTCCGGTAAATCCTCGCTCAGGTACTTCCTTATTATCTCGGTCTGAGTGCTCGTATGGTAATTGAAGTTAAGCTTGTGGTAAATAGTATGCACTAGATTGTACGTTCTTTGCCAGAAACTCATCCGCTGGGGGAACGGTAGAATGTTGTTGGGTGCGAACGCCAGATTTTCCGGATTGCCGATTAGGTCGTGGTGCCATGGATACAGAACCGAGGAACTGACACCTACCAGCGGTAGCTTCAACAGGTAAGCGATCGCCGCGAAACAGTTTGCCCCGAACACCTGGAAAATATCGAACAGAGGTGACACGTTTGCTATGGTTAACCCTTTCGTTTCCACTGTAGTCGTATGAACTGTTTATTTGACAGAGTGATTAAGCCCACGAAAATGTAAAAGTATAAATGGTTAACGATCAGTCAAGTGCTTTAACAATAAAATGTGATAAAATTCAGAAAGTGGAACTGGTCAAGCGGGTAATGATTTACTGAAGAAATGGTAGAGGCACGAATTAATTCAGGTGAATTCATTATTTTGTAGCGATTTAATACATTTCACTATTAATATATTACTAATGTATATCATTAATATATATTAAAAAATTGGGAAGTATGTATGGACGTCGAACTGCTACAGGCAGTCTACAATTTACGAGATCAAATATTAGTATCGTGTGTTTTTTTCATATCTGTCAGTATATAATAGTTTCATCTAATCTTGTACAGATGGTATGACACAACGTTTAATATGCATTCAACAGTTCGTCGGTTTTAGATGTTATGGTCCTTGGTTTCTTTCATTTTTTGGAATTCAAGTGTGTTGAACACTGTCAAAAATGGAAGAAAAACTTATAGAACCTTAATCCTATATTTCAAGGGGGTTCATTGATCGAACGTAAGAAAAAGGTTTTATTATGTACGACAATTTTATAAATGTAATTTGTTATACATTACAGTTATGTAACTGTAGAAAAAGTAAGAAAGGCAAAATTAGGCGCACAATTTTTTTTGAAGAGTCTGTAATTTCGTCGCATACGCCTGCTAGATAGATCTAAATAACGTGATTTCATATCCTCAATTATCGCCTCGAATTTGGCGATAATCTGGTAAATGACTCAGCGAAACGTTTCATCACTTCTTTCCGAACAGATTGTCTTGTTGACAGATTGAAGACAATGACTTGCCGGTTAGAAATAAAACGACTAGAGTGCGCGATACTAATGACGATTTTTTTGTCGAGAAACGTTGTTATTATTAGAAAATTACCGTTTAAAGCAGTCCACCTAAATATCTTCTCCATCAGTGATCATACGAGAAATATTTATTACGTAACTTAAATGGTGCAAAAAATTATATAAGTGAATTTAAAATTTTCAGTCATTTCAAGGTCATACTATTATACATGGATAAATAAATAATAATGTTGGTTATAACATACAACAGGAAAAATGATGTACATAGACATAAAAAAGCATAGGTGACTTTGAAAAAACTGTTAAAAAATGACACATATTGAAAAATTTTTCTGCCATCCGATTCGTCTCTTGAAACCATATAAATTACGTAAAAATTATTTCTTGTATGATCACAGATAGAAAAGACATTTAGGTGGCCTGTTTTAAGCAGAACACCCAGTATAATAGTTCCGCAATTTTTGTAACTTTTCCGGGAAAATTACTGGAATTCCTCCTCAATAAAGTAGAATAAAACCACATGGAATAAGAATAATAAAATACAATATAAAAATAAGCAAGACGTATTTCGAATGAAATTATGTGACGGTTCAGGTTGAACGGAATCTGACAAGCTCTGTCATTGCCCACGTTTTTGTGTTGTATATGAGATATTGTCACCGCAATAAGCTTTCGCTATTTTTACCGTGAAATGTGTCCTGAAGAACTGCGATGCTCGAGAGGGATTTAAGAAATATCCGAAGGCCCGAGAGAGCGGGAGACGTTCGAAAATACAAGAGAAACTTTAAAGTGAGAGATCTGAAAGGAACACGTGAGTAGTATTCTGTGGAGTAACAAGAACTGAAAGTGAGGTATCGAGGGTAGAATATAAGCAGCACCGAAAAATGAAAACCGTGATGTTTGAAAGGAATTCGAGACGTATCCGATATATAGGTTTCTGTACCGGAAACGCGACACAAGCGGAAGCGAGGGATGCGAGGAGAATGTAAGAAGTATCTGAGAAAAGTGAGATATCGTCTGGAAGAATGAAAGATACCGAGGTAAAAACATCGAAATCGACATAATATATCAGAAGAATTTAGGAAGTGCATATGGATTATTTCCTAAAAATGTTTTGAGAGTTGAATGTTTTACAGAACAAATTCAGAAATACCTGTCAAATGTAAAAAGGTGGAATATTAAAAGAAAAAACAGAGAAATAATTAAATTTCAGTAATTCGTAACGGAAGCGATCACGCCGGTCTGAGTTAAAAAAAATGAAAATCGTTTGTCACGTGCCGAGGTCGGCACACGCGTCCAATAAACTGTTGTGTCGCGACTTTAATATAGCGAGAGCGAATCACGGCGATAAAATAGACGAGGGCTACGGACGATGGCAGAGAGATTAAAAGAACATCGTCGAAATGAGCCCTTAAAATTATTGGCGATGTAAGTCAATAAATATGATTTTGAGATATTTAGAGGTTTAGAAAAAAAACTCCCCAGCCCAAATTATATGCTTAGAGACTTAAAGTAGACTCTCGTTACTCGTGCTACTCATCCTAGTCAATATTACTCCATGTTACTCAATATTATTCAGTATTATATTACTCAACTTTGCTCAGTATTATTCAACGTTACTTAATATTACTCAATACTATTCAATATTACTCAATATTACTCGTATTAATTACATCATGCATATCAATTCACCAACAATTGATTCACACCATTTAATCCTTTCAAAGGATCAAGTGAGGGTAGAATAGCTGGCGATGACTTCCGTTGACAGTCAGGGACCTGACAGTATTCGCCAATAGCAGATGAGTTCGACTTTTTCGTCCGGTGAGCTTCCCGTTTCCCCTCTCAAGAGACGCGTGCACAACACGTGCGCGTTGTGTAAGCTTTCAAAAGCAAACACAACGGGTGTCACGTTTCAATCCATAAACTCATCTGAACATCGAACAGAATGTATTTGCCACCGTTTGCAATGAATTTTATACATTTTCGGTCGGTGGCAGGAAAAATTCCATTGTCCCTATATTGGGCGTAGTCAACATTCGAGTAATGGGCGTTTTACCATTTTTTTTACTATTCTATATATATAGGTTGCAACATACAATTAATCCACAGATTTAGATCGACAGAAATTTGCTTGAATAAATCGGTTTCGGAATTAATTTCGATATTATAACTGAAAATCAGTTTTTGATGTCAAACTGAATGGGGAATTGGAGAAACGTCGGACGACGTTTCTATTGTTCTCCAGTTGTAGATCTTTAGGTAATAAGCTGGATAACAGCACTGTTTACTAACGGACTCATGACGATTAGATTGTATTAATTCAATTAAAGAACATCGTTTGATGCTGAAACGTACGAGTATTTGATCGCGAATCAAGTGGACTATCTCTGATGACATAACGTTTAACTCGATAAATATACATTAAGTAGATAAATTTGCAACAGACTTTCAATCAAACAGAAATGAATACAATCGATAGATAAACGGCACATCACTTGCGAACCTAAATTCCAGTTAATCTAGGAAAATAGAAATGCTTGTCTGCCGCGAACAGAAACTTCGTAGACGTTTGATGATTCACTACTTCTGCAGAATTTACATATCATTATCTAAAGATTATAATCATGACAGGATTACAGTTCTAAAGTATCGTTCAGTTATTTATACAATAAAAGAATTTCCGTTTCTCTTTTACAATTTATTATTCTATTACAATAAACAAATTATTTGTCCAATAAGATTTAAACTTATTTCCACAAACGTTTTTTTTTCTATTTACTTTATTTTTTGCATTATTATGTATTATTATTATTCAGTATTACTATATTATATAAAATTTTCCAAACCTCCTTCAAATATAGACAGTCGGTATTTAATAATGCTGTTAATTTGTCATTAACCTTTAAAGTTAACTAAAATATCGTAGAATTTCTGTCAAATGTATTGAAAATTACAGCTATCAGCCGAATAACACGTTTCATAGTGAAATTTCTTGCGTTTCATCATGTCCACCTATACATATAATTTGTCTTCGTCACAAGCGGCCGTTTTGATTTTTCGTTGTATTACAGTCAGCTACGAATCAGTGAAAATTTGCTGACGCAACGTTATATTGGCGAACAGAACAACTTGTCAAGTCTCATACCGTCGAACATAAACGAATGATTAATCAAAAATACTAAAAGCACGAGGAACGTAAACAGTGTCCCCTGTTACTCTACTATCTTATGTACACGCAAGCAATATTAATTTATCTCGATTGAAAAACATTTTTTAACGTATAGTATTGTATCTGGTGCTTAAACAATTTAAAAGAAGCCATAAATGATTCCCAGACCTTCTTAACCCCTTCCCGTGTCATTTAGCTCGCCGAAATCCGGGCCCAAGCGGTACGAGTCAACGCGCGGTAAACAAACCAGAGTGATACTCGGAAACAGTTGCAACACTAGCCGAAATGTAAATACCTGTGATATAGTCATTTGTTTTACGCGATACAGCTTTTGTGGACGTAAACACTAATTCTTTTTCCTCTGTAAAAAATCATTCCGCAAGTCTGACTCGTGATGTTTACGTTTGGCCCGATTTTCAGTCCACGAATCAGACTCGTTAAAGTACGGGAAGGGGTTAAGAACGACTTTCACCTATATTTTCCATAATAAACAAATAATTGTCCTTCGTAATATTTCACCTTATAGAATCAATATTCTGTAACGTTATTTCATCACATCACGGTATAATCGTACGATAAACCATTGGCTTCTGAACTATAAACTTAAACGTCAACAAGGAGATAGGTTCATAGACTGTGAAATTTATTCTCCTTCCGTAAGACATTCTGTACACATACACGTATCATTGAAATATCCTACACGGTGAATCCCAAGTAGTCTAGAGAATTTATAGAAATCAAAAGTAGTCTAGAGACATTAATAAATGTTTGCCATTCCAGGTTTATTTGAGAGATCTTACAATGCCACCGAAAAAAATTTGGTAGATATTACACAGTGCACTATTCGTTGGTTTCAAAATACCTACAAATGAATGCTGCAATGATTTTTACACCCAAATGGTAGACCAAAAGACCACTGTTCATTTCAATGCTTATGGAAATGTCAATACAAGTTCAGTGAATAAATTGGTTCACCATTCAATGGCCAGTGACTTTTCGTCCACCTTGTATATGGATTGGTGGTAATCTTACGTGCGTGTATTTTTATATACTGCCAACTAATTGAAAGATAATAAGTTGGTTTATTTAGATTCGATTAGATCACCATGACTACATGTCAGCGTTATTGTGTTTTAAGTGGATTCGAAAGCAGATGGACTGTCACTTATTGACTATTGGAAAATTTATGATAGGATTCCTAGAATGCGTGTGTACTTGAAAGAGGCTGCGCAAGACTGAACACATCAATTTTGAAGGTACGTGTCAGTCTAGCAAGGTACGAACTTCAGTCTACCAAGGTATGAACTTCAATCTTCCAAGGTTGGAACTTCAATCCATCACGGTACGAACTTCAATGTACTAAGTTACGGGCTTCAATCTACGAAGCTACAAATATACCTTAGTCTATCAAAATACGAACTTGAATATACCAAGCTACGAACTTCAGTCTATCAAAATGCGAACTGCTGTCTACCAAGGTACGAACTTCGATCTACCAAGCTACCAATTTTCAGTCTGTCAAAATGCGAATTTCAGTCTAGCAAGACACAAACTTCAGTGTACCAAGGTACGAACTTCACTGTACCAAGGTACGAACTTCACTGTACCAAGGTACGAACTTCAGTCTACCAATGTACCAAACTACTTTCGTAACTCTGTCGAATACGTCAGAGCCGAAAAAAATTGGTTGCGAGAAAATAATTAACAGCAACACACCTCCATCAGAACTACATCGTAAGGAGGATCCTTCGGTGGATTCTTGACTAGATCCTGTATCCTTGAATCAGCCAGGTGCTGGCAGACCTCAGTCCCACCAAACGTAGCGACAGCGGTGCTCGCTGACACGATCATGTCGTTCATATCATTGAAGGTTAGGTTGTTCATGAACTCTCTGTGTGTCGGCAACACGATCATGTCCCTGTAGTTCGGGTACGGTTTTTTTAACGGGAACGTGCTGATCACGTCCACCTGATGACCTTTTCTGGCGAGTCCCTTCATCAGATGTTCGAACATCATGAAATGGCTTTTACCGCTGAAGGGGAACACAGCGAGTATCCTGTACCCCTGACAAGTGGTCAGTGTCATCCATAGACAGATCAGTCCGAGCAACTTCATTTCGGTGGGCAGAATTTCTTCACCTATTGTCTCCGAAACTTAACCGAATCCTCTTTCTTTGCTACAATCCTGGATGAGTTCCACACTAATTTTTGTTGTACACTATTATCACACCACCTGGACACAGAATGTTTCTATCCCCCTTACAAACAGGTCACTTCTGCCATGATCGTATCGGATCGATGAGAAATTTTGTCTTTGGTATCGTTAGGTCGAAACGATGTTGTTAATGTCGCGACGATTTTACGTTCGAGCCGGGGGATCAGTCAGCGTAAGCTTCGAGTTACGGTGACGTACTGAGCTTATTCTATGCTTAGAGCGCCGCAGATAAATTTGACCTTCTAATACTCGACTTATGCGTGCACGATACTCGAGCACAACCGGGAGCGACGATATCTGGCAAAGGGAATGAGATGTTCTCTTCCTTTTATACTTCCGTTTTATTTGTTTTTTTTTTTTTTGCAGTGGTTGCAATCTCGATTGGTTTATTGTTAAGAACCCCCTCTCAGTTGCGATGTATCGTGACTTTCGAAGTACACAAATTGCAGCGAGTATATATGTACGTTGACGATCGATCGGCTCGATCGCCCTGAAGACACTGTCCGGTTTCGTTGAACGGAATGGACTATAAGTCGCTGAGGATATTCGTTCGGTTGAAACGGGACGGTTACTCGTCGATTTTTCATGATTATGTCACACGATGGACGACACTTTTTGAACAGTTTAATTCGTCTGACGGGGATGAAAAGCGATTTCTTAAATACTAGTTCGACCGCATGCAGCGTTTTTTGTCGAGGTGATGGAAAATACATTGTTTTCAGCGAAGTAGTTGGTATTATTTTGATTAATTGCTGTTTGATGCCGTTATTTAATATGAACTGGAAATCAAAGTTCATAATTGCAGCGGTATTGTGAGGATACGATAAACTTTTAGGATTATTTTGATAGAGGATGAAAAAGGTAATTGTGTCGATAGTGTATGTGTTGTTTAGAAATATTGTTACTAAGAGTATAGGCTATGAAAATTGTGGAGATAGTAATTATTATTGGTTCGATGATCCACTATTCTCACAATAAAATAGCAATAGCTGCTTGATAAAATTGGCGTAAATACATACTGTGAAAGAATAACTGTATATCTTTGATTATCTTGATAACAAATTTTTTTTATTTAGTAAAAAGAGAAATTATCAATCTTAAGGAATTAAAGGTATCACTTCGAAAGTTATCGACACTATTTTCTCTTTCTCTACTGAAAAAGTTCGATTCACCCGCGACAAGAAATATACGGGGTGACCATTAATCATGCAACAATATCTCAGTAATGAAACGTATCTCGAACAAGCGAAGTTTTAGAGGAAAACCATATCTGGTGTTTTTCCGCCCCTCTAATTAGAATACATTACGAACTTGCTATCTGTCCTGACGACGTGAAATGTATTCAATAAATCGACCATAGTGTCGCCTCCGATAGAAACACAAATAAGTTACGATGATATTATTAATAAGTAGTACACATTAACTGAAATTAAACTACATAGTTCGACGTATTCGTTCATTTGTTAGTGAACTTTAAAGAACATTTATTAATTCCCATGAAATATTCAACATATTTTCATGGGAAAATGGACGTTTTTTGGAGCATCCATTTTGTCACAATGACTCGCAAGAATCTACAGCCCCCAAACAATGCCACGTGTATACATATATGCAGTTGTTTTGTCAACGAAAAAAAATCGAAATCCACGACAAGATTCCGCAACTCACGAGTCGGAGGTTAAACGTATAGAAAAGATGATTATGCTGGAAATTACGATACGGGCGAGAATTACAGACACTTTCACTATCTGAACTGCGATTGTCTGCACCAAGGGTATCAATGAGAACGGAGACAGTTACAGAACGATGACTTTCGTCATCACACTCCACTCAAGTCGTGTAATCGCAACGTGACATAGATCATGCAATAACATGACAGTAATAACAAGAAGGTACATACATGTAGTGTCAATTTATTACCTACAGCATAACAGAAAAACAGGGGAGATCTGAAGAATTCGAATAGTACGGAGTATTCGAATAATTCGTATATATTCGAAGACTTAACGTTTGAAAAACAAATAATTGTAAAGGCCAACGTAAAAAGAATTTCACGATAAGGTGTGAAAAAATATATTATGTACAGATTCTTATTCAGTACAATAAAAAATTCGATCAGTGCGAAAATTCGAATGCTCCGAATAATCCGAATATTTCGAATACTTCGAATATTCGAATGATTCCACTCTTAAATTCGAATTCTGCTGTTATTCGAATTTTCGAATATTTTTAATAGCCATATTCATAACCGAAAAGTTCCACACTGTTTCATGACTGGGGTAAATACCCAGATATGCATACATATACCTGCCCACCAATAACCGTTATTGAAAACCCTCTAACCGATTCCAACTTTCTCTTTAAGACAACTGCCTATTGTATTCTTTGACCTGAAGAAAGGAATTTAGCAACACTGTTTTTGTTTGGTTCAGTTTTGCACGAAACTTCGAGCGGAGCGGACGTGCTTTAGTATTTCCAAGTCGAATATTACACTTCTTCTATCTGCTGTTTTATTTACAGTATTTCCGAGTATTTTACGTTAGTAAATATTAAAATAAGTTTAATACTGTGTATAAGTTTATCGCGAGAAAATGGAAGAATTAGCAGCGACACAATTTTCGAGGTATGTAATTATAAAATACAATACACAAGCGGGTACGTTGTGATTCCTGATGAAAAAATAAGAAAATAATATAGAATAACATTTTTTTCATCCGAGGCTTAGTTTTTGAGAAAATCGAGTTTGGAAAACCACTGCGTGCGTATGCAATTACGACGGGTTTTCTGATTTTTTCTAATTTCATACGAAAAGAAACTTTTCGTGGATTTCGTTAAAAACGTCAGATTTGACACGTGAACGGTCAGCATTTTGACGTTCGTTGTATACACCCTGTATGTATTTTGCACGCGCCCTCTTTTCAATAACCACCCCTTCGATTTTCAATTAAAACAATTTCATCAACGGCTACAAATCGCAAAAGTACTTTTCCGTCCACTTTTGCCCTGGTCTCTCGAACTCCCATTTCGCTTTGCTTCAACACTTCGAGATCGATTAGAACTTTATTTCACGAAGGCGTTCGCTTCATTCGATCGTTCCTTAGTAATCAAAATAAACTTTTGAACAATTGTGTTAAATTTTAAACGGTCCATATACAATTTCCATACCATTTGTTATTTAGTAAATTCTTTCTTTGTTTTGGTTATTTCATTCTTCAGACGATCCGCCATTTTTAAAAAGGAATAGTGCCAAGAATATCTTACGACATACATTATCGTTTAAACATCTGACAAATTTCCAGAATATTTGAAACGAATCGTGTAAATGAATGGTAAGCATGGTATCGATTGAAACGATCATTTTAGACAATTATCATTTAATCGTATTGTAAAATTGCGATAATCTATGCATAATTTCGTATTACTAAAGTTCTATCAGTAGAAGATTCATTTATATTTACGTAACAATAATCAACCATGTACAATTGGTGGTACCTATAATTACAAAAGAAAATAAGCAGTACAAACATGTCGTTCAAGTGTGACAGAAATGTCAAAGGGAATAAAATAAGAGAAAAGTCAAGCTTTGCTCTCTCCATTTCCCTCGAAGCCGTCGTTATTATTCAAGACATTTCCCCGTTAGAAAATTCTCCCTTGAATCAACAGCCCGACATTACCATATTTGGCTAAATTGTTTCGGATATTTTCTTTTCCGTAGCGTTCCTTCTTTATGTCCTCGTTCAGTTCAGTTTCTTCTTAGCTTGGTGGGTACTTCCGTAGAGTTTCCTTATCGATGCCTTGAAGAAGATCCTCGACACGTAGACACATAGAACAAGGTAGGACACGATGAAACCGAGAACGTCGATTAAGTTCCGTTTCCACCAAGGTATTCCGATCATCGGGGACCTTAACGATTCTGGACCATTTCTGATCACGTATTCGATCCAATAGATAGCGGTGTCCATTGCGCTCATTGGTCGATCTCGAAACGATCTCGACGCCTTTTGCGCGGCTTCTCTGAAAGGAAAGGGTGAACGTTAAGTACCCACTCGGAATTGAATCGAGCACTCAATTTATTAACAATCAATCGAAGACACCCTTTTATCAGCACATTTGGTAATGAAGTAACCGGTTGAAACTCTCAGAGACCCTTAATTTCAATTTTAATTGAATTAAAGTTTCAATATAGGAAATCTATCTTTGATTCGATTTATGTCTTTAGAAATTAGTTCATAGATCACTCGGTTTGAAATTGACACCTATAGTCTAATTAAGGGATCCTGACTTGTACTTTGGATCAATTTTAATTGAAATTAAATAATTTCGATTTTAATTGAATTAAAGCTTTGATACAGGAAATCGACCATTGATTCGATTTCTGTCTTTATAGATTACTTCATGGTTCAGTGGATTTGAAATTAACATCTGTAGTCTAATCCTCACTTGTACTTTGGATCGTTCAAAATAGCGTTCAAAGCGGCGTCCATCGAGTTCTTGGTCAGGTTATTCAGATTTATCGCGATCGCCACGTTTTTTTCGACGAAAATGTTAATGTTCCTCATTTGATCCGAGAATATTGGTATTCCTATCAGTGGAACGCCGTAATAGAGTGCTTCTTGGACTCCCATGAGACCACCGTGAGTAATGAAGACCCTCGTATTTTTGTGTCCTGTAAACAATTTTTCATTTTACAAAAATATATTTTTTTTAATACATTCCAAACCCCTAACGTGTTTCTCGGAAATAATTCGGAATATTTATTGAAGTATTTTTAACACTTTAACTCCCAGACCCTTAAATCGTTATTTCAAAATTATGGGATCGATATATATGTGGTATCTTGTTATTTTGAAGGCGATAATATCGGTATTAAACCAACTTAATTTTTATTTTTTTTTTAATTTATTTTTAACCCTTTAACGTCCAAACACCTCTTCCAAGAAAAAAAATTATTTTTCGCGATTAGTTAACTAAAA